TAGTTTAGATCATTTTGTAGGGTTGTTTTTCTTGCTGTAATTTTTTACATTTCCGAGTTTTCATTCTGTTTGTTGTATTATTTCCATCCATTCTGTTGATGAAGGCATAATAAAGAGGGTCGCACACGGCTCGTGTTGACACACCCCAATTAAGGTTGCTTGTTACATGATAAATGTTTTATATTCGTTTGAGCGGGGTAGCGAATTAGAATATAAATCCCTTTTCTTTTATATACCTGAGGACTAAAAAAGGGACCCCTTTCGGGCGGAGCATCCCCGTATAGGCCATCATAGGAAGTACCTCTCCGGGCATTAGGGCTGAGCCCATTGAAAATTGTTGCATTGAAGGGTCCTTCTAGAGCGCAATATGCGAAGGCTGTGGGTTTTAATTTCCTTCGCCGGCGAAAACAGACGTTTCTCAGCGGCAATGAACGAGGAGAAACGTCTGTTACAGGCTATAATTTCTCTTTCAAATAATTTTCTTGGCTGTGGGAGAAAACATTTGGAAGTTTATAAACGTTCTGGTGGATTTTCACCGTCGCGTAATTTTTCACACCGTAAATTCAGTATGCGCGTAAATAAAATAGAGGCAATTAAATGTATAAAAGGAAGAAGCAGCTTGTTGCTGTAAAAAAAAGCAATCAGGAGAAAAAGAAACTGTAAATTTGACTCGGTTTCTAATGTTATGAACTGAGTCAAATGTGGAAGAATTTGTATGGAGTCATCGGAGCATAACTGGGCTAATATCTCAGAGACAATTGCCCTGAAATGAAGTAGGCCTCCTGGATGTTGTTCTTTCAGAATATCCTTACAAATCCCATAATTTCACAATTTTTTTTTTGTGACTTCACACTTTAGTTGTGATATTTTGGTGGAAAACATTTTTAAAGTTATAGGTGCATTTCATTTGAGCATTTCACCATTTACTTTGTCGGGTTCATATAGTGACTAGTAGAATTCATGTAAAAATCTAAAATAAAGCATGACAGGACGTTGCTCTTTACTCCAAGGTTTCAGTTGGCCAAATATAATTTGTTGATTAGTATTGTAAATATTGCTAATAAATTTTCTAAACTTTCTTAAATTATTCAACATTGATTTTAAAATAAATGAGTGCCGTTTGACACATCAGTTAGCGTCGGCCTAAGAACATCCACATAGCCGCGTGCACAGGACATTCAACTCACCATATTTACAGCGCAGCTCAGTAGTGGCGAACCAGTTTAAAATTCGCTCCAGACAAGCCTCTGGGGTTGTATCGAGGATCATAAAGACAGGGACTAGTAGATCTTCAGTTTCAGCCTTCATCCTGTCTCCTCAGGGTGCCGATGCACCGCTTTTGGAATGTGTGTCTGGCGCAAAACCGCGTTGATATGCCTGTTGT